CACTTCCTGTTCTAGGGGGGCGTGGGCTCTCGCAGCGCTTAGCTGCTCGGGCCTAATAATTACTAATAATCCGTTGTACAACTCGGAGATGATTGGAATAAAATCTACTTTTTGAAAATATTTTTTGTGGAAGTGGAATAAACTGACATCAAAATTTAATTCATTTTTAGCCTTTTGACTAAAAAGTCATTTAGTTTTAGCCATAATTTATTTTTCAGAATTGTTTTAGTCTAGTTTTGGTCGACTAAGTATAATGAAATTTTATACGACTGAATATGCAATCCATTTAGTCAACAAAATATTATATGTAAATTATAAATCATTTTTAATCAATTCACTTGAATTAATCATCTTTTTTTGCATTCTTCATATTATTTTTATTTATTTATTTTTGCTGTAAATCAAAAATAAACACCAAACATGTAACAGTCAGCCTATTAAAAATGAGACTGACTAATACTGATGCATCAGTGATCATCTAAACTCAACATGCAAGACAAACCACAATAACCAATCATAACATAATGTTTCACCATATCAGAACCAGGAGATGATTTTGGAACATCAGTGATTCTGATGTTCTGGGCTTCTGAGCTCTGTGTGTCTGCAGTGTTGCTTTCCTGCCTGATTTCACTCATTTTCAAACTTTCCTTGTATTCATCCTCACTGATGCTGTACAGTCAGGGACGTGCGTCTTCCTACTCACGTCTGTATTTTTGCTACGGTTTTCGCTTCCAGGATGTGGTGAGATTCCGGCTGGACAATTAAAAAAGGCGCAGCCAACAAGAGCGGCACCATGTGCGTTGTCTGTCTCTAGGCAACCGTGACAACAACTGCAGTGAGCAACTGTCTGTAGCGAGTCCCCATGGCATTTCCCATGCTTCAGCTACAGGGTTTCCCTGTGTATTACAAGCCTGGCGGGCCACCAGGCTTTACTTGTGACCCCACCAGACTAAGTGTTGTTTATTTATTTTTACATTTGCCTTTTCTAAGACTTTATAGTTGCTGTTTGGGTTTGATTTATGTTTTCCAATAACACATATAGTCATATTTTCAAATTTCCTGTCAACTTTAAACATTTTTTTTAAATTAAAAACACGACAGGTCGCTGGATGACTGTCCCAGCGCCCCTACCACCGGGCTTAGTAGGTTTTTTTGGGGCTACGTTTCAAGATGACCTTTTACGCTTCTTTGAAGAGGTTAAGGTGGGTCTACGGATTGAACAAAACATCTTCATTAATTTATTTTTGCACAAAATCAATCCTAGATAACGAGATTTCAGTCTGGTCAGATCTGATTGTCTTCTGGACACCATAAAACATTTAGTTAGTGCCTGTGTGTGTCAGAAATTATGTGGAATTTCATAGACAAACCGCATCACTGATAAGCTTCAGCTTTTCACTCACAGATTACAAACACAATGGGCAGAAATATCTTACATTTTGGATTTCTGGCAAACCGCTCACTAACGTTTTCGCCTCTTGTCTCGTCAGTAACAACTCTCAGACATCTTGTCATATTTTGTCCCCGTGCTTTTTTTTTTTTTTGTCATCGTAAAGAAAAAAGGGGCGTCAACAAAATAATTTTGTTCTTGTCATCGTTGCCAACGCTACACTAAGATGGTGTTTGTGAACACGGTTCTCAAGTAAGAAAACACATTTCACTGACTGCATATCCTGTCAGAACAAAACCTCTGTAGACGTCTCTATTTGGTAAATAACCAATTTCTACATGTTTTTGTTTCTACGTGTATGAACCAAATGAATGAGAGGGGCTGAGTGTACATTGTGTGCAGCATTAGCTTCGTGTGACTTTTTAGATATTAAACATTCAACGATAAAACGTCTTGCCTTTACCTTTAGGTTCCACTGTAGCTCCTGGTTTGGTTGTCTGACAAGCAACACATTTAACATCAGCAGCTTTGTTCTGAACCATGCAGGTGTCACATTCCCATGATCCTTCTGGTGTCTTGAACTGCTCCAACAGAGCAAACGTTGGGGCACTGCTGGCTGCTGAAGATACAGCTGCCGAAGCTCCTGTTGGTTGGTTTAAATAGAAACACTGCTTATCAAAACAGCCCAATGCCAAGAGAAAGATAAATGCACGAGAAGCACGACAGTCATGCTGTGACTAGTACCTGGTTTAGAAGCCATGCAGGCCACACACTTTGTGTCCTCAGCCTTGTTTTGTACCAAACATGTTTCACAATCCCACGCACCCTCTGATTTTTTGAACTTGTCTCCAAACCCACTGATCCCTGTGGAAACTGGGTCTGAGGGTGTGGATGCAGTCTTAGCAGCTGAGAAGTTGGGGGGGAAAGTGAGCGACGGTTTGAGTCCAGTCCCGGGTTTGGCCGTTTCGCAGGCCACGCACTTCACTGCGTCAGGTTTGTTCGAGACCAGACACGTGTCGCACTCCCAGGTTCCTGCAGGCTTGGAGAAGATCGGGCTGAATCCTGTCGTCGTGGAGGCAGAGGCGGTGCTTGTGCTGCTGCTCTGGGCAGGAGTTTTTTTGCTCTCCGCCGATTTTGGTGAGGAGTTCGGCTTTGGGGCCCGACAGCAAACGCACTTTACTTCCGATTGCTTGTTCTCAACCAGACACACGTCGCAGCTCCAGCCCGCCGAGGCACCGGACAGACCACCAAACCCTGATGGCGAAGGTAGCGAAGAGGAGAAGCTTGTGCCAGGCGAAGGAGTGGTTGTGGGTTGGGCGGGTGGCTGCTGGCAGGCGGTGTTGGTGCCAGGAGAGTTTTGAACAACAGGAGAAGCAAAACCTGGAAGGAATAATAATAAAACTTTAAAAATTAACCACCAGGTGAGTTTCTGATTAAAGCATGTATCTATTTAAAATAAATACGTAATTAATTGATTTTTCCCCTCACTTATTTCTTCTACAAAATCAGATGTTTCAAAATGATGGGGAAAAAAACATCTTCAGAAAGCTTTTATTTCAATCATTCCTTCTGTGAGTTGACCTGAATTCGACATTGAATTCGTTGTCAGACAAGATGCTTGGCTGAGCTAACATCACTCTGAACTATGGAAACCCAAGAAGCGCATTAGAGAAAGAAAATCCAGATTTTCCCAAAACTTCATCTTCAAAATCAGAAAATCTGATTACTCAATAAGATCAAATTATCACCGAGTTTTATAAATAAGTGAACAAATTCCCACCAGGTGACTTGAGAAGATCCAGTACGCTGCCCTGCTTCAAGGTCTTGGCCGGTTTGAAAGGTCCTTCAAATTCCTCTGTGCTCTTGCTTGCTATAGGTTTCACTGTGAAACAGGAAAACACGCCAGATGGCTCACCTCGTTTTATGATTTTTAATGGCACTCCAACTTATAAAAATGCCTCAGAAAGGCGAGGAAAAGCTCCTTACCAGCTGTTGCTGTGGGCGCCGTCAGCTTTCCGTTTGACATGGACGGCGCCAGCTTTGCTACAGGTGCACTGAAGGTGAAACCAACCTACAAAGAAAGAGAAAATGTATACGTGCTTACATCACCCCTACGCAGGCAAGAGTAGAAACGTATGAAACGGCATCTAAAGAGATGAAATAACTCACAGCAGGGGAGTAAGAAGGTGGGCTGGCTGCAGTTGCCTTGACAATAGGAGAGGAAAATGTGAAAGGTGCACAGGGCGGTGTGGAGGCCTTTGGTGGATCCTGCGGGCAGAAAACACAACATGACTGTTTTCTGCAACACTTCCAAGGATCAGCACAGCAGAAGGAGGCGGTGGACGCAAAAACCAACCTTGTTTGTGAGCGTCTCCTTCGCAGGGGTAGTGGATGTGAAGCTGGGGGCGGAGCTGGCAGAGGTGGCAGGTGGTAAAGATGGAGAGAAGCTGAACGTAGGCAAAGATGATTTGTTGATTGGTAGTGAAATGCTTGGAAGGACCGGTGCTTCAGCCACCTGCAGACAGAAAGCAAACATTCATAAGTGTGTAAACAGAACCTGAATTCACAGCCCCAGATAATAAAACACCATTTTTTTAATTACTAATTAACCTCATCTTCTTCAGTGTGTTTGGAGGAAGGTCGTGCTGTGGTCCTTTCTCTCCTGATTTTGCCCCCTCCAGAGCTCAGGCTGCTGGCTGCAGGGGTGCTGGACAGAGGGTAGACCGGGTCACTGAAACTCCTTGTGCTTGACGGCAGATAAAACATAATTTATGTTAAACATACAGTGACATAGATGTCTGTTATTAGAAATGCTGTGGTTTGAATAAGTAGCTGTAATACATTTATACATTTTATATGAGGAAAAACTACATAATCGCAGCTTGATATTTATTGACCTAAATGTGTGTTTTTTTGTGTTTTTTTTTAATCATTCTGCGTTTACCTTTGAGATGGACCTGGGGTTGCTTCAGGTAGCTGTGGTGATTGTCTTGTGGGCTAAAGGGGAGAAAAGATGAGCAAAGTCTGTTTCAAAAGACTGCATGTCATGTCCAGGGTTTCAAAACAATCGTTATACGAAAACAACACAGGAAGGAAAGAAGAGGAACAAAGAAGGACACAAGAAAGGGAAGACAAAAGTAAATAAGGGAGATGCAAGAAAGGAGGATAAATTGAAACGAGGAGAGAATGAAAAGAGAGAAAAGATCGGAAGGAAGACAATGGACAGATACATTTAAAAAAAAAAAGGTTAGAGTTTATGGAGCAATCTTGACAGAGAGATAAAACAATCTAAATCTCTTTCTGTATTTAAAAGAAATTTTAAAATTATTATGACGAAGCATTACGGTATTGAATAAGCCGATGTTTTGTTACGTACTTGAAATATGTCAGTAATAGTGTTCTGAGTTAAATACATTTTTTATGTGAAAAGGGGGCAGATAGTTTATACTTCTTACTGCTCCTTGATTTCTTTTAGTTGTTACATGAACTGTTCATATTTATTATTTCTTATAGCTTTCAGTCAAAACGCTAAAAGAAAGCTATAAGATAAGTAAGGTATGAAATAAGGAAGAAAAATAGGAGATGAGGGGAAAAGGGCAAATGAAAGGGCAGAATACACAAAGGAAAGATGAGTGAAAAAAGGACAAACGGAAAAAGGAAGACAAAAACGAGGATAGGATCTATCAATAAAGGAAGGAGTGAATGACAAAAAACAAGGAGGGTAGAATCTACACAATTTAAGAAGGAAGCAAAGAAGGAAGGAAGGACACGTTCAGAAAATGGGATAGGGGATAAAATCTGGGAATATACATATTTCGCAATGTCTTTTTTCAATACTTATCCAGATCACAAAAACACAAAGATCAAATTTCCTATTTTCCCTGCCTGTTGTTCTATTGTGACAGAATTTACGTTCTGTTGAAGTTCAACAACATCGCTCTGAGCCATAATGTACCGTCTTTTCCCTTGGCGTCCTGTCCAGGGCTCGGGTGAGTCCTCCAGGCGTCAAAGTCGGCCTGAAAGACACGGATCGATTTCCTGAAACAGAAGCTGGAGCTGGAACCACGAGTTTCTGCACTGGGGGGAGGTTTGAGTCCATCTGGGGAAAAGGCAGCAGAACACAGAGGAGATAAATAACCAAACCGTGAGCCAGAAGCGCCTTCTCTGATCTGTATTCAATATGGCACAGACCTAAACGTTTAATAAAAACATTTTATAGCACCGCAATGAAGCTATTCAACTCTGCTTTAGCATAATCCCATCTGGCAAGGTTAATTTACCTCGGCATACATTATCTAATTCATGAGCGAGAAGTTTCACTCAGATTTACGACGATCAGGATGTAATTTAAGGAAGCTATTCCTGAGCAAATGAGTTTACCTTCAAGCTAATTAAGGAGCAAGTGTCAAGTTTACTTAATATAACCTCGATTAATTCAGGAAAAAGTGTCATTGCTGCCATAATTTACAAAAGAGGGGAAGACTACCAACCTATGGTTGGGATGAGCCTTGAGAGCTTCAGTAAAACATTGTTTCATCCTTCAAATACAATAACAGCTGTGACAGCTGGGAATGCTGGACGGAAAGCAAACCGAACCAGGCACCGATGCATTAGACCAGCTCACAAACGTCTACACACACAGTAGACTACACTTGGTGAAGAACAGCTGGATGGAGGCGTGTTCATGGCTGTTTGGGGCTCCCACAGGCAGCGGCAGACAATAATCGCCTGTTTATAAGCGTTAGCTAAAAGGCTAAATGTTACCGATTGGATTAAACCGCTCGTGGACAAGCAGTTTTTCCCCAGTCAGAAAACAATCGGCTAACTTCATGTCTCCATTAATTCCTTTGCAGTTACTCTGTCATTTATTTATTGCAACATAACTTTCATATTAGTGGATCACAAATTAAAATACATAAATTTAACTAACCCGTTTCTTCTTCGCCTGGTGACGGGGACCATCTTGGTTTAAGACGTCCATCGACTGTAATGAGAGTTAAAATACGTCAAAAAGTGACTGAACAGACGATTCATGATATAATGAGCTGGAGACTTACTGGAGAACGACTGGGCGAGCCTGCTGTGGGTGCTGGGATTCTCTTTGCATCCTGTTGATGGGGGGGAAAAATAAACACATTTTTATTACTTCAGATGATTAAAGTCTGTCATCAAGTACAACCGCTACGAAAATAGATATTTTTAAATCTAAATCTGGCCTCGAAGCATCTGTGTGTACTCACAGCCAGTGGGCTCGACATGCGCTCCAAAGACTGCAGGATGCGCCTGGCGGTGGCGCTGGTCACGCCGCAGGGCTGAGCGCCGGCGGGCTTGGCCTTGATCTGTCTTCTCACCGGCGCCTACGAATCAAATGGGCCGCTTTAAATCTCTAATCCAAGTTCAATCACAAGTTAATCCTGAACAGCTAGGACGCCATACGTATAATGAATATGATTGAGCTCTGATGAGACGCCACTCATCCGTTTTTAAAAGTAAACACTGGCTCCAACTTTAAAAGATCACCTGATAAGGAGTGCCAGGACGACCGCGGGAGCTTCTGACTGCAGCTGCTCCTCCATACGTGGTTTTCCCAGGGTAGAAAGGTGAATCTCCGAGCTGGCTAGAGTTCAGCAGTGTGCTGTTTAACGTCGACTAAAAGGAGAGATTGAATAAAACATAAGAGTTGTGGTGGAAACCTTTACATTTTTTATTTTTTAATCTGGAGTCGTTTTGGTAACAAAACAACCAAATTTAACTGCAAACAAATCCAACACTGTATTAAAAAAATCGGTTTTCGATATGGTTGATTATGAAACTATATCGATGTAACAGGATTACAAATCATCACTAGAGAGCAACTCTGCCATATAAACATTCAAAAGCTATTATTATCCCATGAACTTCATCGCATTTTGTCAAAATGTCACAAATTCATTACCAGCAGTGCATTATAAGCCTGGAGGGCCACCAGGCTTTACCTGTGCCCCCCCCAGGCTTAGCATTGCTTTTTCTTTTTTTTTTATTTAATGTTTGCATTTTTGAAGACTTTATAGGTGGTGTTCAGATATTAATCTTCCAATAACACATAATTATCAAGTGATATTTTCAAATTTCCTGTCAACTTTAAACATTTTTTAACTCAAAAACACGACGAGCCGCTGGATGAATGACTGCCAAGTGCATAACCACCGGGACTAGATGGTTTTCTGGGGAAACCCTGCAAATTGGGCGTGGTCTATCATAATCACTCATAACCATACATTACATCTACAGCAACAATCCTTTATGGTTATGTCTTTACTAGCCTTTACCCATTCCTCTTCACAAAAATGCTGGAAGTCAGACTTAATGGGGAACATTTCTGAATGTTAAACTTCATTTGTTACATTTTCAGTCGGTGCGGTTCACTTTCACTCTGCACTGTCAAACCATCCAAACCCTCCGAAAAACCTGTTTACCTCCTGGCCTGTGGTGGCGCTGCACCAAGAAACACTGAAGGAAACGACATGAAAACCTCTGAAGAAGACATGAATAGGCCTGGACGATGAATTGTCCCAGAAGTTAAGGCAATAAATGATAATATTGTTGTTTTGAGACCATTTTCAGGTATTACAAAGGTGATAAGATCAATAAACTTTGAATTCTAATGAACTGGTGTTGAAATTTCTAAATATCCTCAGGTTTGTGTGTGTGTGTGGTTGGTGGTTTGTGTCATCTAGTGTTGGACTAGTGATCTGTCCAGGGTTTACCTGGCCTCCAGAGGTAGTAATAATTAAAACTGTATATATCAATATTTTTTCTGTACATATGTGGTTGAAACAATGATGAGATTCTCCTTATATTTACATTGATATTTTATGTAATATATAAAATGCTTTTAGGTCAACATCCTCGATCCAAAGCCAGGATGTAGATCGCCATCTATTACTTACATTGGAGGAGTTTCCAAACACAGACAGGTTGAAAGAAGGCTTTTTGAGACTGGACTGAGACTGCTGAGGTCCAGAGTGTGTCCTGTCCATCTCTGGGGACCAAAGCTGAGGAAGTGATGCGGTTTTTGAAGTTGGGACATCTGAAAAACGAAACATAGCCTGAGGATTATCTTGAGATTCGCAGAGATGTTTCTAAAAAGTCCCTAAATATTCCGAGTCCTACCCTTGTCGGATGCACGGGAGGAGAACCCACTCGTGGTGGAGATGTTATCGTCTTCGTGTTGCGAGAGGTTGTCCTTGATTTCTTTGACCAAAGAGAAGCCTGTGGAGAAGGGGCCTGGGGCTGAAGAAGTGGAGGGTGGAGAGAAGAGGCTGCTGGAGGCCCCCATTGTAGGGGAGGAAGCATCCAGCGAGGTAAAGTGGAGGTGAGAACGACTCAGCGGAGGCCGAGAAAGCACATACTCCTGAAAGTTCAGGGATGCTCGGCTGGTCGAGGGTTCTGCAAAGGAAGCAGAAACCACAAATGAGCTTTAAAATAAATAATAACCTTTCCAGACAAAATTAATGTAACATAGGAGACTAGAACAGCCCCTTGCCTGTATTACTGGTGCTTGGCTCTGGGGAGTCGCGCCCATCAATGGGAGGAGGTCCCTCTTCATTACCATTAGGAGGAGTAGGAGGAGGAGGTGACGGTTGACAGTTCTGCTCCGTCCCTTGTCCTGTCTGTCCTGCAGGAGGGTCTCCATTCTTGAAGTATTTCTGCAGCCAGGAAGGAACGATGCTCTTCACCGTGTCCGTCACTCGACTGATGAGGCCTGACTGCTACAAGAAGAAGAAACATGACAGGAAAATACTCTTAAAAACTCATTTAATTGTTGAAAAGAAAAAAAAAACTGGCAAGATTAAAAGTTCTAATGTTTAATGAATTAATCGGATGGGGTTTTTTTTAAGGTGCAGAGGAAAAACTTAAAAGTATTACCTCTGCTATATTACTCATGCCTTTAATAAAATAATCACTTAATATTGTATGCTTTTATGAATTCACAATGCAAACTCCAATCTTTTACATTTGACTTTCAGCTTCTAACATTTCAAATAGGCAAAAATACTGATGCCTATAAGTCAGATCTTAGGTCTGCAATAAATGCCCAGATTAATCATTCTAAATAATGTTCTTCTTTATAATTTCTGATTTGCAAAAAACTGCATTTCTTATTAATCTAAAGTCCCCCATTTGCAAAGAGGCCCTATTTAACAATCATTGTACAAAACAAAACAAAAAAAATCTCAGTAAGACGAAAACTGGGTCAGGCTCTGTGTCAGTTCCCCTGTTCCCAAAAAACCCTGAAGTATTGAGACTGATCTGCACAACACTGAGACACACTTCTGGATTAACTGATCATTAGTCAAAACTCTTCAATCTGGTGCAAATCTAAAAGTAGCATTTCCAACATTAAGACATTCAGGCACTGGGCTGGTAAACAAAATACACAAGACAACATTTTTTTCCACTGAATGAGACAAATTTGGAGCAGCGAAGGCGACACTAAAGGACAAATACAACCAGAAATGAAGTGTATCCCATCAGAAGAATACTAATTATGTATCTGAGAGCTAAGCTTTCTAAAATATTCAGCAGCTTTGTCTAGTCATTCAGGCTGAAGCCCAAACTGCAGAAATACTTTGGCTTCTTTCTGTAGCTCCTATTAGAGATGAGCCGGTGTGAGAATGCCATAGATGGAAAAAAAAAAACATCCATGCCTAATATGCAAAACTGTATTGAAGAGCTAAGAGACATACAACATGGTGATCACTTATTTAAGACAGAAAAGCATCTAAAAACTGCTACTAAAAGTGTGCATCACATTGATTTTTGCAGATGCATTACTGTGAAAAACGCAGGTGGAATCAGCAGCATGTGAGGGAGGGGCAGTGCAGCCTTACACTAAGCTTCAAATATTCAGATAAAACTCTGGTAGTTTTCCGGCATCACATTTAAAAGATTTTAAACTACACGAGCGACACGACGGAAAACTTTAATAGCTCTGAAATGGAAACTTAGTAAAACTTCTATATAAACCTGTAGTAAACAAGTCATAACCAGCTGCTAGTCGTGTGCAGGATCCTTCACTTTTCTTGAAGGGAAGCATTTAATGAGCCGTCATAGATGACCAGCGCATCTCGTTATGCAGTTATTACACACATAGAAGGTTTTAGCACCTGATAAGAACCACATGAGCCTCTTCCTCCATGCTTATCTATGACGTACACCTGTGGGTTCTGAACTTCCCACATTATGAAAATCACACATCTTTAACTGGTCAAGTGCAACTAGTTTGCACTTGAAATATGTGGAAAACATCATTATGGGATGTTTTTCACAGTGGGCAGGGAAATATATGTGTACTGTTGGTAAATATAGCCATAGCAACAATGTTAATATTGGATTTCGATATTGGTGCATCTCTCTTTTTTATAAATGTTTTGTGGCTTATCTTTTATGCAGCCACATAATAACATGTTCAAACAAAAATGTAATGTTTCAACCAAAGATGACGCCATTTGGAAACTGGAACAACGATTTAGGATGTCTCAATAGGCCTGTCACAATAAAAAAAAATAATAATTAATCGCATGACAAATGAAAAGAAAATCAATAATTTTCATTTACTTGAATTATCATTTTTCTCTTTTTACCAAAAACCGAATAAGAGTCTTCAATCTGGTGTTTTAGTCTCAACTGTCCCTTTTTCGAAAGGTAATTTGGTTTACAGAGACTTCATAATTCATTTTATTTGTTGTTGTCTTTATTTATTTTGGATATTCCAGATGTCTTCCAGTTCCAGTGTTTAAACGTTCATTAGAATTTAAAGTTTATCAATCTTTGAGAATGTATTCTTGCACTTTTATGCCATTGTTACTTTATATTACCTGAAAATGTCCCCAAACAACAATGGGGACATTGTTTATGTTATTGTTTATCGCAATAAGTTCTGGGATAATTTATCGTCCAGCAAAATGTGTTATCGTGACAGGCCTAAAATTGTCTGTCTCAACGACAATTTTATAATTTCAGCTTTTGTCTTGATGCAAATATTTCATGCACTTCAGTACATTTTCAAGTTCAATACCTCAATGTTAATTTTAGACACATTTAAAACATGCAAACTTTATTAGGGAAACCAAAAACCAGTGTTAAACATAGTGAGCAAAAGGAAGAGTAAATAACAGCAGGTAAGGTTTTTCACTATCTGGTAACAGAATAAGAAAAAAAAACTGATGAATAAAAAGCAGAACAGTGAGAGAAGTTTGTTAATACATGAATATGATCCAACAGACAGAACTGAAAACTCCTGACGACGCAAACTAAGCTTTTCACACATTTCAATTTCTAAAAATACCAGCTGTTGACTTTCAGTTTCTGATCAGAAAATTAAAAAAAAACCCTGACCGGTGAGCACACACACACAATAGCATCAACACTCTCATCTAGATGTTGTTACAGAGTGAAGAAGGTTCAGATTTCTATTTTTTACAGTCAAGCATAATCGTTTTAGATTTAATGTCTATAAGTGAATCTTTCTCTTGATCTGGAAGATTTTACCATCTTTGAAGATTTCCACATCTGTTTATTGCTAAGTATCATTAAAATCACTGTTTTATAACTTGAGACAGACTAGACTATTGTAAACAGGATGTTAATGAATGAAGGCTAATGAGTGCAGTTTTAACAAATAGCAGGTATGTTACTATCTGTGAGCCGCAGCTTCTGTTTGCGTCTCAAATTTAATTTATACTACTGGCTGCATAATCTCCTCATAAAATTTTATTTACCACTGATAGGTGCAATTACAGGATATTTGATCGCTTTGTAAACACTCAGAATTTAATTTGTCATTGTTTTTTTTCCCATTTCTAGTAATGACAGAACCAAGAATTTATTGTTGAAGTTTTAATGGGACAAAACAAAATGCTTGAGTCACCAAAAGATGAAAATATTTTTTTAATCATCCAAATCATTTAGTTGATGTTTTTAAGTGTCTGTATACCACATTTAATCTGATGTGAAATCTGGTGATGTGCTTTTGTTTCAAGATGGAATCTTTTGATGACAACAATTTGTACAGTAACAAATCAAATGTCATTTATAAATGTTTCTTTGGGTTTTCACTGGAATATACATTTTATTTTTAATTAAGTACTTTGGTCAAGTCTTTTCATTCATGTCAATCTTTGAAATTATCCAGAATTTAATCTGTTAAAATGCTATTACAGATGCTGATATTGTTTTAATCAAATTTCAAGCGATGTCAAATATTTTGACAACTCTGAAATATGTTTAGATTATTAACACTTAATGAAAAGATGACTACTGACTTATGTGCACGTTCTTTAACGAGTTACAACAGCACATATTTAGTGGACTATTGTGACATCACATAGAACTTGATAAATCAAAGTAGGTTGTCCAATATTCGTAAGGCAGGGCAGGGTTTTCGAACCGACAATCCGGCAAAACATTTGGAAATTTTCTGCCTTTCATTAAATAGGTATATTCTGCAATTACAACTGCCAACATCACGAATTACCCACGAAATGACTGCGGTGTCTGGGCGCCAATTGATCCGGGAGACAAACATGTGGGTCCCCAATCAGCCAGAGCTTTCTCTGCGCAATTAAACTGGCTGAGGTTTGGCTAACAGATGCTAATGTCCGAAATATTTTCGCACTCTTTGTACAAAGCATATGTATTGAAAATCATTGCGCCTGGTCACAGGTAAGTATTATGACCAGCGACACTGTTTTGTCAGATGTTAAGGCTACATTAAGAGGAACCAAATATAACAATGCGGCGTTCATAGGTGCTAACTCAAGTTAGCTGTATAGGCTAATACTTTAGATTCCACTTCCTTGCTTTATCCAAACTTCGTAAACAATTGTAAAGTTAAACACCGATTTGGGGTAATTTCCCTCAACATGTCATGCGTGACGTGTATTAGTAAAATTAACAAATGCAATGTTTAACTTGTCAAAGCGACACAGTCCCGTGGTTTGACCTGTCAGCGCCTGCTGCTGCTGCTAACCTCAAGCTAGTTCGTTAGCATTTCGTAAACGTGCTAGCAGCGCGTGGAGGCCATGAGCGCTAACAGCAGGCCATAAAATGTCTCCAAGAAAACAATAACACATCCCGAAGAACGGTGGCAACGCGATTACTGCGATGTACTTCACATGGGTGTCTTACTTGAGAACTTATATTTAATTTACCTGTTTACTCTTGGCGTAAGGTTTAGAAGCGATGTGATATCTCCTGCTTCTGATTTTCCCTCCACCCGTGGCCGCCATGGCTTTCGTCTGACTGTCTATCGATGTTTCGGCGCCGGATAGCTGTCATCCAGGACAGCGGCCACCTGCAGGGGAATTGTGGGAAATGAAGTGCCTTAACCTAACAAAGGATTTCCATATTTGCCTCACCACAACTGGGTTAACCAGAGGTGAGAAGAGTACATAAAAAATGTACTCCAGAAAGAGTAGCTCTACAACATATTTTTATTCAAGTAAGAGTAATAAAGTATTTTCAAAAAAGGCTTTCTGAGTGCTAAATGATCGATACAGCTGATTTAATATTTTTATAATGATGTCATCAGAGAGACAAAAAAATATACTTATTTGCAAATTTTGGTGTTTTAAATACTAGAATGAAAAACAACTAAACCTGATAATGGAAGGAAATAAAATATTTTTGCTATTTTTTCAGTATAAAATTTATGTTACACTTGGTTTTTAGACCACAATAAGGTATGTGCAGTGATTATAGATACTTTTTTCTGCATGTTTTACTTGACCCTCCAACTGGCACAACAGGTTCTGCAAAGAAAATATTTGAATAACAAGAAGTCTCACTTTAAGACAAACTCTAGGTGCGTGTAAATCACTGGTCAAGCATTTTTGGTTAAAATGTTTGTCATTAATTGAGTAAATTTGCTCTCAGTGGGAAGAAAATCCAGAAATTTTACTCCAGTAGCGATACTTCATATCAACACAATTCAAATAAAGTAACAAGTCTGGTGTTGTAAAAGCACTCCTAAACGTATTTTTTTTCTATAAAAGTTACTCATGTAGATGCATCTCAGTGAATGTATCTAATTATTAGCCACATCTGAAAATGACAAAAACATAAAAAAAATTCAGAACCACATCCACAAATCATTAAGTGAATAAATAGAATCTAAGCTCATTTAACAAAAGTTAAAAAAAAAAAAGCCTATTCAGGCAGTGTTCACTTTGATACAGCTTTTGATAACAGCTACAAGCAAATGAATGAAATAAAAAATGAAAACATTGAAAAAAATTTGCCTTCATACCATGACGTCTTCTCTGTTATTTATTCAGCAGATAAGCATGTTAGAATTATGGGAAGAATCCATCCACCCATCAATTATCTAAATAGGCTCTTCCTTGCAGTCAAGAGTTGGCTGGTGCTTATCTCCAGTAGTCTAATGATTGGACAAACCTGGAAGAAAACTTGTTAAAGTTTGCTGTAGACTTCAGATTGGGGAAGAGGTTCAACCTTCCAAGGCTAACGAAACTAAACTTACAGCGAGACCTACAACGTTCAATACTTAAAAACGACCCGGTTAAAGTCCAGGCCTAAATTAAAGGCAGAATTTATAAGCAATGTGATGTTCCAAAATTAGAGCCAGTGTTTCTTACTGACTGTAAATTAGATCAAAAATCTTATGGACTACAATTAGTTTTATGTGCTTAGTTTAAAAAAAAACAACACTCATGTTAGTAATCAAGGTTAGTACATTTTAACATCAACTATAAAAATGCTTTTATCTTTCTTTTTATACAGTATTTGTAACTATCTGGTCCTTTTTATGCTAGGTAGTCAGACCAATTATGAACCTCAAAATCCAAAACTGACAAAATGCTTGGTTCTGGTTGGCCGTTGTGAAGTTTTATATCAATGACAATTTTCTATCTATTTATTAAGTGAATAAATAGAATCTAATCTCATTTAACAAAAGTAAAAAAAAAAAAGATCAGCTATAAAAATAGCTGTAGCATTTGAATGTGGCTTGACCAAACTGCTGCAACTGGTGCTATATTTATACATGCATGTATAGTAAAATATGAAAATGTGCAAGTGTACTGCAGCCTAGTCTCAATTTCAAAATTATAAAACCAGCAGTTAAATCTGACTGTAAATGCTGCTAGATATTCCATGCTGGAGAGCTAAACATGAACTGAACATACTTTAATAAAAACAAAATAAAAAAAAAACACCTCTTGGATGGTGAGAACAACACATGATTCACATTTTCATGATTCACAAAAGAAGAAATTTATTCCACGTGATCATTAAACTGTGTAGAAAAAGCAGGATAGAAACATTCACATCACCTCATGGTGCATCATGTTTACAATGCATCTGTCAATACAATTTTTATTACATAAAGTGTTATTTCACTTTAAGACAACATAAGTGTTCAAGGGGCTCAAGTATGTCAGTGCTTTGGACATTTTGTGCAGTAAATGCATTTTACAACATGAAAAACTAACAATGTGAATAACTCAAAGCCTACCTTTTGTTATAAACAACATACATTTCTCCATTCAAGCCGTTACCTTCTGCTGCTCTTTTAGATGTCAAAGATACCACATTTTGACAAATTGTACAACGTTAGTCACAATAAAACACACTGAGCTTATTGGCTTTAGTAAAAGTAGCTTAGTCTGACCTGTAGTGAGTAAACAAAAACTTAAAAGTGCAGCTTCCATTGAAGAAAATCGCTTAAAACCTGATTAACTGTCTCAAATGCAAGTGCAAAATTCAGTTTGGCAAAGAAAAACAACATTTTGCTAGAATAATCTACTTGACTAATTTTAGTATCTTACAAAATGTTAAATATTATACAATGCAAATTGGACAGGAGTGCAAAATTTAAGACGCATGCTGCTGTGAAACATCGTGCTGATGGTAGAACAGTCCAGTGGATCCTGTTGTTTTTTTGTTCATATTTTAACATCCCAAACTATAATCACGCAGGTTCACAAACATTTTGTTTCTGGCTCTCAAACATATTAGAATTTTTAACTGGCATCTTTACCACAGTTTTTTTTGGTTTTCAGTGACTTATAAAACCAGGCATTCAAAAAATAAAAAATCTATATTTTAATGCTTGTTGTTCATTGTTCCTTTTCCTCTTCGCTGCTCACAACTCTGTTCATAGCAAGACCCTTCCTCCGTCTTGTAGGCTCTGAAAGTACCAATGAATCGCTCTGCTCTGCAGAGAAAAAACAACAACAACACAGTAATAATAAATATTTTGCAGACAAACTGTGAAAAAAAAGCAGCGTTATGGGACTGACCTGTGCTTCCATCAAGGCTCGAGGAACACGAGTTAGAAACATCTCTGTCCTCATCTTGTAAAAATGTGCTCTGGTAACAAAAACAAATCCAGTGACATGGTGGCTTTTTTAATTTAAAGGAATAAAAACTTAATAATAGTAATAATAATGCATTTTATTTGTCAGCGTTTTCCAAAGCGCCCAAGGACACTTTGCAACATTAAACACACAAATTAAACAGTTAAAAAAAATGTCTATAAAAACACAAAAACTTTAACCAATATCTTTATATATTGATAAACAAAACAACAATCTCACAGATCATTAAGACATCTAAAAATAATCAAACAATAACAAGCAAGCTAAAAGTCGTAATCATATAATATAATCATCATATTAAAGCTACTGCAGTGTGAGTAGAGAGTTACAAGCAGGCAAAGTCATAAAAGGCAACATCTTACCTTTCTCTTATTTTGTTCAAACCAAACCATGCCGTACAGACACAGGAGTGTGATGAATGCCTGAAGAAAATAAGAATAAAAAGGCCAGGTGGAATAAATTTTATTAAAGTATGAGGTGGGGTGCACTTAATGTTCAGCGGTTAATTTGTTAAAAAAAACCCAAAAAACAAAAAAAAAACATAGGCATCCGTTTTTTATTCTTGCTCAAAATTATGCACTAAACTGTGTTAATCTGTCATGTAAAATCCCATTAAAACATTGACATTTTTGGTTGTACTGTGGCAAAATGTGAAAAAACTGAAAGGGGGAATATTTCTGCAAAAACATCCAAAACAACAAAGAAACATCTCATCCTCAGACATCAGTGGTTTCCTCTGGGACAGATTTCTAACCTTCTACAAATTAACTACATCCCATTTCACCCCAATCTCAATCTGATCTGCTCAAAGTAAAGAGATTTCTAACGACTGGATCTACTGATCTACTGAACATAAATATACAAACGTAGATAAATCCACATTCTTACCATGCAAAGGAACCAGAGAGCCACATACCAAATTTCAGTCTGGGAAAACAAATCAATACCAAATTTCACACAAACGAGAGCTTCCAGGAATGCAATGGCCCTGCATAAAACAAACAAACAAACAAAAAAAACATACAATCAGACAAATAGCATTCTTGAATATAAACATTATACTGTATGAAACAATTACTCCCTCTTTTGGCAACACATTCCAACTGCAACAGCGCTTCACCCTGGTGGTAAAAGTCCACAGACCTGATTGTTGCGTTCCTCTCCCACCCCCTCCGGCTCTGAGCTGGAATGCACTGCTAAGCATTTCCTGCCGACGGTGAGACCTCGTCCTGTTGCTATAGCAACTGGCTCAGACTGAGGGCATGAGCTTCTTTGTGTTTAAGGTGAGGTCAATAACGGCATAATGTCATGAATTTTTATTGAGCAGAGAACAGCATGTGTTACGTCTAAATTCTCAAAGCTGCTCTACATCTGCAAAATAATAATAAAAAAGAAACCTAAAGAAGACTTGTGAGATGGTTTTGAACAGTAAAATATGCCAGCTACATTTCTGAATTTTTTCGTAATAAGTGACTGTTTCTGTTTCTTTTTAGTTTATGACTATAACCAAAACCAAAGCTTGATATAAGCACATTCCCCTGTTAATATATCCATGGTAAAAAGAACAAAAACATTCTGCACATAAGTCTTAAAATAACTATCATCATCATTATCACTTCATTGTGGCAAATTAAACAAAAATTACCAGTAGTAACAAGTAGTAATTATCTCAGTCATTCCCTGACTTGTGAAGATCACACAAGTGATTTACTTTAATAGGATGGTCCCTTGTTTTTCCCATTTTGAGGAGTGGATAAGAGGCCTTTGTGTCATGACCGGAAATCGGGAAGTCTCCAATAGCTCATTTTAAAATGTTTTGATCAACTATAAAAAAAAAAAATTAAAAAAAAAGGACTGAATTCAAAACATGTTTCAGTTGCCATTATTTTATATTCATTTTAAATAATGGTACTGAGAATTTTGTTTAGAACGACAACAACAAAAAATATCCCTCAACATAAATTAAAATCTTGTGTTTGTGTAAGGTCGTACAACAACAACAACAAAAGTTAATTTGATCCCAATAGGCGAGGAACGGTCAGCATCAGAAAATAATTTAATTGGTGAAAAAAATAATAATTTGCTGTGATCACAAGGGAAATTAACGAAAGCCGACATGAAAAAGAAACGGTAACACTTTATTTGAAGGGGGGTGAATAAGACTGACATGACACTGTCATAAACACCTGTTGTGAACATGAATAAGCCTTCATGAATATTTATGACTGTTGTCATAAAGCGTCATTCGGTAAATTATGACACTTTTAATACAAAGTTGACATTATTCAAAATGTCTTTGTTATGACAACTTGACATTAACCAAGAAATCATTACTGATATAAATTTGTTATAAAAGTATTACTGATTGTACTTTAAAAATTAGGTAACTTTATGTTATTAAAGGTAAAGTTTAAACTAATGATTTCTTGGTTAATGTCAAGTTGTCATAACAAAGACATTTTGAATAATGTCAACTTTGTATTAAAAGTGTCATAATTTACCGAATGGCGCTTTATGACAACAGTCATAAATATTCATGAAGGCTTATTCATGTTCATGACAGGTGTTATGTCATGTTTATGAAAGTGTCATGTCAGTCTTATTCACCCCCCTTCAAATAAAGTGTTACCAAAGAAACTTACCCAAATACCCAGCACTGCGTACCAACCCGCTTACACTGAGTGTCTGTCAGGTATGCGTAATACTGCCTATAAAATGATAAGGAGGACATTTGTAAATAACAAAAGCATGACTTATACTAATATAAACAGGCGTAATGAATACAAAACAACAAGAAAAAAAAAACACACAAAAAAACCACAACATACATTCATAAGCTACTTCTGCAGTGTAGGTTTATGCCACACCAGAACAAGCTTTACACTTTTTTGATTAACCACAAAAATGGGTTATTTTTAATCATTAATCACTCCTCTTCACACAAAGATTAAACATACCGCACTGTGGGCGCAGTGATAACTCCAATTAGCACGATGCGACACCAGGTGAAAGGGTGAGAGACCGGGAAGACGAAGATGTGCTTCAGGAAAAACGCGTTCAACTCTGTCAGCTGCAAACAGAAATAAAAGAAAGGATTATTGTTAATAGAGCTCTCAGGAATGCATTTAGGTGAGGAAATGTACTGTTAGCACAGATATCAAAGACTTTAACACCATTACAGGTGTTTTCGGCAGAAAACAGAAGGGAGACAAACCTGCCATAAGATCATAAAGAGGTAGATTCCTGCCAGTCTCTGGAAGGAGGAATTTGGATCAAGCCAGCGCACAAAAGTCCAGCTGGCCGGTGTAAACTGAAGCACGGCTCGCTTTATCTTCCCCGTGGTCGAGTGGATTTTTCTGAACAAAAACAAGACAGTAGTAATAATAACTCACAGCCTGAAGGTGCTTAAACAAGTCCCATTAATTTAAAATATCCCTAAATGTACTTTTAGAAAGACTATGGATAATAGCAGATGTTTTTAGTCAGAAATATAAATGATATTTAAATATATTACTAAATTCATGCATCAACAGTTACATTAAGATTCTTTAAGCCAATGGCGTCTGAACTTCTTGCTATGTAGGTCAACATAAAAGTGCTTGCAGGACATAAAATCTAATTACTTTTAATAAGAGTGCAAAAATAATTTTATTGTGATTTCGTTTGTACCCCCTCAAAGATGTACCAAAAATGATAAAACCAAGTAGACATGTGTATAAAATGCATCTGAAAATCAATGTAAACAGCTTTGTACTTGTATGGTTCTTGAAAAGACACTGATTTTAAAACCTCATTAAAAGAAAGGCATATCATTTTGCCATTTTGGGGGGCCAAATGTTGGCTGTTTTTTTTTTTTGTTTTGGTCATTTTTGTGGCTTAATAACCAGCATTAATAACAAGACAGAGATATGTGTCCCTCTTACATTGAAAACACTTCCAGGTTTATGAATGCATGTCCCAAAGTCTACTTTTGAGTAAAAGTGTCTGCGTATTTGTGGCCCTTCTTACTACAATATGTAGTATGAAAGAGAGAGGAAGGTTATTAAATACTTTGTGTAGTAGGAACTGAAGTTTTTTAATTTTTCTGTCAATTTTAGCTGGAACCACCAGTAACAGCGACCCAACTTTGTACCATTCTTTAACTGCAGCACACAATACCCCAGGCCACACTTTGGACATAAATGGTTTAAGCTACTCAGTATCTACTCTTACTACACTGTATAATATGAAAAAATAAAATGAATACTGACTTGATGCTGGCCCAGCGATAAATCCTCATCTCCAGGGAACGACAGGCTGTCATCCCCAGCCAGATTCCTCCTCCGTTACACAACAAGATATCCAGAATCAACTGGTCCCACCAGCACTCTGCAAAGTTTGGCAGGAGGTGCATGAAGAAGAGCTGTGAAAAGTGACAAGAGAGCAGAGTGAGTACACAAAAGCTTCAAGAAATTGTTAAAACCTTATCTACCCATCTTTCTTAATGATTTGAAAGTTTAAAACAACTGTGAATAAGGTTGCAGAATCACGCTGAAGCCATGTACAGTGATGAAGATGGAAAGCAAACATGTGGAGTTAAACTCCACATGCTCTAGCTTAGTGAAATCTCACAGGAAAAGACAAAGGGCTGTCCTAATGGCAAAAAGGAGGCTGCAAAAAACATAGCAACATCATGGTTGTTAAGTGTGACCTTGAAGAAAGCAAACATTTATCAACTTAAAACATTGCTCACTAAACAAGCAATCAAATTAAAGTTGGATTTGTTTCTCAAATTTCCAGTGTGCGATCACACTTCTACCATAAAGTATTTACTTACTTATCTTTTTCCGTGTTTATCAGGGGTCAGTGATTTTTTTTTTTTTTAAAGTGATGTTCTGATCAGAAACAACATATCTTCACGTGCACTTAACATCCATGCGGATACAAAGCACATTCATGGCCATTTAACTCAAGATTAAGCCAGTCGTTGCCATCTCATGTAGGTCACCTCAGTGAGTTCCCAGGTGATGCTGATTGTCCAGCAGAGGAGGTAGCTGCGCATCAGCATAGCCTTCATAGCCCATCCTGCGAAGTGGGCGAATACAAAGATGTCCACTTGGCTCATGATGCGATTCCATGTTATGTCAGAACAGTTTGTAGCATATTCCTAAAGAAGAACAAACAGAATGTAGCAAACAGGTACTGACCAAATCCCTCTCCTACATCCATCAGTGAGAAATATTTCATTTAATTATCCTGATATATTTATCCGATTTGTCCTTTCGGAAATTATGCCACAATCTTTTACGTGTATTCTTTTTAAAATCTTTGCTCCGGTTGTTCATCTGTAAATGAAAAGTTGGTGTTGTAAGCTGAACTGACCATTGTGTCAACTTCCCGTTTGGCAAAGCGCAGATTTGGATCCACCCAATACATCAGAGTCTTCACTTGTTCCCAATTGAGGAAGAGGAGAAAGACAAGAAACAGGAAGTAGAGCACACTGAGACCTATCAAAGACAAGAGAATCTGGTGAGAATCAAGAAATAAAAATGATTTGTATCTGAAGAAAATATTCTGACTCTCACCAAACACCATTCTCCATATTGCAGGGTGAGGTCTTGTAAAGGGTCCTAGCAACAAGAGCATCAGTTATTTCAATATGTGTGCTTTTTATGAGACAGATATTATAGGTGCTGTAAATAATAGCGGTTTAACAAAGAAAATGCACTAATTAGGCCCTAAATTGTGAAAATTATAGTCTTTTTGGCCATAAATGTAAAAAAGAATCCACTATTTGATCAAACAGTAGTAAATTAAACACTAAAATCTGATATTTTTAAAAAAATAGTATTTTGGTTTCCCCTCCCGCCCCCCATTACTGATATTTCTGATACTTTGTATATAGCAGACAGGCAAACAAACAAAACTATTTCCATTATATTCCATACTATTTTTTAAGTCTTAATAAGATATAATTTTCTAAACTGTAAATAAAAATAAATAAGTATTACATGACAGATTCAAAAGAAGTTATTGACAAAAAAATAAGAGTACTGTGTCAAAGTCTTGAGTCATTAGTAACCATAGTAGCGATGTACAGAAACATCAGATAACAAGCCAGGAGTTTAAACAATGTAAAGCTTGAAAATCCAGTGTTGCTCTTGGCAGTAGGTGTAATAATGTGGAATGCTGAGTGTCTGATGAAACCACTTTAATAGGCTTCAAGAAAGTCTGGCTCCTTGGAGGCAAAAGAACAGGAAATTCTGGATGGTTTAAGAATCAAAGTTTGAACCAAATAGTTGGCCCCTTGCACCACTATTGTCAAAGCTGTAATGTAGCTTACCATTTGGAAAAGCCAGTACGCTGACAACCATGAAGAAACAAACAACCACTAACACACCAACACGGATGTTATTGTCTTGATTTCCATCGTCCCTGTCAAAATCAGGTTTCGCCCATTAACAAAAAAGGTTGGCAAACAACTTTTAACAGCAAAAAATAAATGTCGTTTACCTGGTGAAGGCAAAGTACATCAGACTGAGCAAGGTAACTGTCAGAAGGCTGATGGTGTGTGGTTTGTAGAAGAAGTGAATGCAGATATCATCCACTTGTTGCTCATTTATCATTCGGAAATGTAGCTTAGATTCTTCATTATTCGAAGAAGGACGAACTTCTGGGGTTGCCATATTGCTGTCCTGAACCTTCTCAGTTATTTATATCGATGTAATTTTAAGAATTGAAGCCGAAAGCTGAAGAAATTACTTTAGGGACGAAACTCCTCAGCGTTCGGTCAGGAACCATGTGGGCGGACTAAACCACTTCCGCAAAATAGAGGGGTGTGCTGACGGTGACGTGAATATTGTTATGCCAACTACTAATAAGAACAAAACATTTTAGGAGTTAGAATTTTGCCTTAATTGACTTATAAAATCTTACGTGACAAATATCTAACCATATTTTATTTTAAAAAATAAAACTTTATCGATCAGTCATCAGAAAACACCGCTGTGGAACATTCCGGAATGTGACGTTTGAGTGTAGCTCTTCCGCTAAGGTCCACGTGAAAACACTTCATATTTCTCAACATTTCTACATCTATTTAAGTGTAAGAGAAGATGGTTTGAATAGACAAACGTGAGTATTGTGAATGCCCAGTTGTTGTATCGTAATCTCGGCTAGATCTCGGTTTTGAGGGTAGCTGTTGACCTAGCGTGTTGGCATAGATTAATCAAGCCAACTCCTTAGAGGACATCAACAGATGCCTGAAATGTTCATTCTCTCCATGTAGGTTGCTGATAAATTAGCATTAAGTAGTTGAGTCCGTCTGTAAATCAGTGGTATTTAAATATTTAAACATTATTAAACTTATAATTGTATGCAGTGCAGTTGGTCGACAACAAAGACGTATGTAACAGCAGGCTACAGATTATTTGAGGGCCATAGGCAAAACATGATTTGGGGCCCCACGTACAAAACAACCATGCACAGTTAATCATAAGGACAAATTAACACAACAGTCATGTTTTTGGACTGTGAGAGGTAACTGAAAAACCCTGAGAAATCTCCTCACATAAGTGAGAATATTATGAAAACCTATTGGAGAAAATAAATCCAGGCTGGGATTCACACCCAGCACTTTATGGCTGCAAGGCAACAGTGCTAACTTCAGCATTGTGTATCCCTCAAATTGTTCAGTTCGTATTTATTACTGTTACCGCTGCAATTAATTATTTTCTATTTTGATTTCTAACTCATCAGACATTCAGTCAATCAGATAATGCGTATAAATAATCTGGATTTGTAATAGTAAGGAAACTTTTGTCCTGTGATGACAAAAGTAGTGATGGGGAGTATTTTCATTTTTAATGTAAGTCAGTTCTTAAATGTTGTGGGTACCATCTGTGTAATCAGGATTTTGAATGTAATTTTAAAAAATTCCAGGTTGCAGGTATCGGAAGGCCTACACACTGAATGTAAAGACATATTTGGATGTATTTTCAACCATGAATGGTCGCCCTTCTATATGCATCTTCAAATGTATTTAAAAAAAAAGAAAAACTTGAAAACTCTACTTGTACTCCTGCAAGAGAGGATTAACCAAGCAAGATGACAAAACAAGATTTGTGCATGCTAAAATAGCTTAAAAATAACATTAGTCTTAACCGCTTTTGTTTGCTGATACATATTGTTTTCCTTAGCTTTATATAGAATGTTTTTTTTATTGTTCTGAGCTCCAAGCTTTCTTTTCCCACACTGTATTTTAATGTCTTTCAGAATGAGCATGTTTTCTGCCTGTGCCATGTTGTGTCTGCGATGCAGAGGTCTTCTTTCGCCAAAGAACAGCACTCATCTGCACTATGTTCACGTTCAACATAGTGTGACTGTGGGCAAATCAACCAGAATCAGTAACAGGTTTTTATCCAGAGGAAATCACACAGCAGCTCAGCCGAGACTGAACTGGAAACGTCAAACATCCTGCTATTATGATTATACGGCAAAATATCTGACAACTGAGGCGAAGGAAAGCAAACATACAGATGAGGGGCCCAGAACAGACATCCCTGAATACAAGCCTGCTCTGGTGCCAACAATAGATGCTTTGCCACTGCCCCAAAGTCAGATTTCTGTTGGTATGTATCTACTGTCACTAAGCAGAATTTGTAGTTGACTTGGACACAAAATATTCATCCTAGAAGAACTGAATTGCCTCTGACTCGTTTTGTTTTCTTCATGAAGAAGGCTTGGATGCTGATGAGAAACTTTCAGCGTTGGAGGAAATCAGTGACGAGGAAGCTGTTGGCATTTCTATTCCTCCTTCCATTCCTCCAGCCTCAGTCTCTCTCCAAGACTATGTTGACCAGTCGGAGACACTTACAAAGCTGGTGCAGCTTGGTAAACTCGCCATGAAGATTTTTTTTTTACCCCCCTTTAATACAGAGATAGAAGTAGGCAAATAGCATTTTATTAACTCTTTCAGTCTCCTCTCATTGTAGGGGTCAGCTTGTGGAAGCTGGAGCGAAGGCCCAATGTTGGCTCCATGCTGCTCAGACTTGACTTCAACAGAGATGTAGCACCTTGCCTATTGTTTCTGAAAGAGATTGGAGTGGAGGACTCGCGCTTGGGCTACATCATCTCGCACAACCCCTTCATCCTCTCCGAGAACTTGGAAAACTTGCAGGCCAGGTAACATGAAAATATAGAGTGTGATGCAAAATTATTCATATTCTTTTTTTTTTCTTTTTTTTACATTTTTTCACAATACAGTCACAAACTTTAATGTATTTTGTGTGCATAGTTGTGAGGTTGAAGGAAAATATCGTTTTCAATTTTCTTAAATCTGAAAAGTTGCAGAGTTAACAGTTGTAACTGCTGTCCAGCTGTTCAATAGCTGTTTTTTTTTCAGATAAAATTGATGCTCCATGAGATCTTCAAGAATTGGCATGTTATTTTGTAACTCAACCCCCATTGAAAACATAATTCACAGGTAGTCAGTATTTTCCAGTGGGATTTCTTGAGGGTTATCAGAGAAATGTGGGCTCTGATAAAGACGCATATCACACCTTTTTGATTCTATTTCACAAAAGATCTGAAAGCTTTTTTTTTTTTTTTCACGTTGCTCTATCACAAAGTCCCAATAAAATGCATTAATGTTGGTTGCTGTAACGTCGCATAATATGGAGAATGGAGAAATGAATATAAATATTAGACACAATGTTGACATTTCCTCCTCGAAATTATTTGTGTTGATGATGTTTTCTCTTTTGTATCAAGAGTGAACTACCTGACGTCCAGGAAGTTCAGTTCAGAAACGGTTGCATCTATGGTCTCCAGAGCACCGTATCTTCTTAGCTTCAGCGTGAAGAGGCTGGACAACAGGCTGGGTTTTTTTCAGCAGCAACTCAAACTCAGTGCTTCCAACGTAGGTTGTCGGGAAATCACAAGAGATCCCATGAAAATATTTTTGAAATGAGCAGGGATTTTTCATTTTCTTTTATTGATGAGCGGTAAACACTAATAATTTCCACATGTGTCTGCAGACGCGGAACGTTGTTGCTCGTCTCCCCAGATTACTGTGTGGCAGCTTGGAGCCTGTTAAAGAAAACTTAAAGGTATCGAGTCAAAGCTTGATATTGAGAAAATCATAGTTTAAGTTTGTTTAGATGATGAACAAAATCCTTTTTTTTTTGTAAATGTTTTCTGCAGGTGTGCGAAATAGAGTTTGGCTTTAAGCAAAATGAGATCCAGCACATTGTTATTGCCATCCCTAAGGTTTTGACAGCCAGTAAAAAGAAACTAACCCAGATATTTGACTTTGTTCACAACACCATGAAAGTTCCCCATCACCTGATCACAAAGTTTCCACAGGTAGGTGACAATGGCCATTTGTTCTGTCTCTCTTACTAAATTTTGCTTCATTTTTGTCCAAATCTATAATTTTATAACTCTGTTTTTTATTGTCTTCCAGGTTCTCAACTCAAAGTTCTTGCGTCTCAGAGAGCGCCACTTGTTTCTGGAGTATCTTGGGAAAGCTCAGTATGACCCAGACCTGCCCAGCTACATCTCACTGGACCGCTTGGCGTCCCTGCCGGATGAGATCTTTTGCACGGAGCTTGCAATGGCCACATTGGAAGATTTTTATTTGTTCCAAAAGACTCTTTGATTCTTCATGATGCAAAGATGAAAGTGATACAAAAACCACACTGGATACATGCAGTGGATTCACTTCCAAAAGATGTTTGCAAACAAACATGTTTACCAAAAATTATGCATGGCAACTTGTGTGTGAAAACTATTCTTTGCAAAGAGCATAACTGATATATGTTCAGTTTAATTGACTTTTTTTTTCTGTGGTTTGACTGTATAAATTTATGTACATAAAACAGAATTTGTTCTAAAATATTAAAATGTAACATTGATGTAGTTTAACTAGTTCTGTTTCTTTCTTGTTTAATTCAGTTTTATACATCATGATGTCATGGTTTACATGCATAAAACCATATATTAACTGTAAAACTTGTAATTTCTCAAAAACAGTAAAAGTAAACAATATTAATGCAATCAACATTGCAAATTGTTCTAAATGAGAAGGATTCTTTTCTCCTTCCGAATACGAGTGGTGTCATGAAAACCTGCTTTATGTTTAAATCCATTTTGGAAATTGTTTGGATACCCTAAAATCTAGTACTTTTATTGTGTACACATAATAATACATCCCAATTATAGATTTTTAAATCTATAATTGGAAGATTTTTATGTGTTCCAAAAGACTGGGAACAGAAGAGTGTTTTTTTTTTTTTTTTTTAAAGAGTTTTCTGATGGATTTAATGAATGACTTCACCAAAATGCAAAAAATCCTTATCTTAAAAAAATGTTCTAAAAACTGGACAGTTTTATGTAGCTACTCTTGCTGCTAAAAGGAATTTTTTCTCTTTCTTTGCTCCAATTTTGGAAGACCAAGTTGGAAACTTATGTGGGATCTACCAAATTAAATGTAGAGTTGCAACAATTAACATTTAAATTAAACTGTATGTGATTATTAAAATATAAATACTTTAGTTTGCCATATTAAAGTTTCAGATAAAATGTACATTTTATGTTTTATACATTTCAGGAATAAAAGGTAAAATTCCACTTGTTAACATCACTTGCTGATCAGATCAGCAAGAAGGAATTAATATTGAGAGATCCACTTTGTTTAAAAATATAACTGAAGTACCCTTTACTGTCCTTCAGAGGGAAATAAAAAAGGAAATGAATAAAGAAAACTTTGCTGTATATCTTTTTTTTTGTTAGAATGGATTTTTAAAATTACCAGTCAAAAAACGTTTCCTTTACA